GAGGAAATGCGAAAAAAAAAAAAAAAAAAAAAAAACCCAAAGGGACTGCCCCAGGAAAAGTATGCAAACCCGTTCTGACGCGCAGCAGTAGTGTAATTTTTTTTTTTTTTTTTTTTTAAAAAAACATATGTTCATACATAATTTGAATATTTCTTTTTTATTACATTTTTTTTTTTTTTTTTTTTTTCCTAAACGAATGAACAATGTAACTTGAGGAAATAAAAGCATTCTTAGAATTCACGTCACTCCCGGTCAGCTTCGATCAATCCCTGGTTATTTTAAACGCCGCTCCTTAAAATCACCTATTTGTGACGATTTAATTTTCCCTCTCGTACACGTTCGTATCCATAGCCTACTTATGCGAACTGTGAGAAAATATTTTTGTAAGTGCATACATCCATGGGCGAATTTTCCGGCAACCCTCCGCGCACTCAATCCATGTACTTGGCCTTGCTAACCCACTGGGGCGTAGCTTAAAAGGGAACATCGGGCCTCAACATGCTTTTTTTAAAACCCGAGTCACATTATTTGTCGCCTACTTGAATGCCAATGAATTATATACAGAGCCTTGCAGCGCGCTGTATATGTTCCACCCCCGTCACATCGAGTCGATCTCATATATTTTTTTTTTTTTTTTTTTTTTTTTTTCTCACCCATAAAACATAACAAAGAGATTATCCCCTGAGAGAAGAATTTTCCTCCTCACTTTTCACCCTTGCTAACCCACTGGGGCGTAGCTTAAAAGGGAACATCGGGCCTCAACATGCTTTTTTTAAAACCCGAGTCACATTATTTGTCGCCTACTTGAATGCCAATGAATTATATACAGAGCCTTGCAGCGCGCTGTATATGTTCCACCCCCGTCACATCGAGTCGATCTCATATATTTTTTTTTTTTTTTTTTTTTTTTTTTCTCACCCATAAAACATAACAAAGAGATTATCCCCTGAGAGAAGAATTTTCCTCCTCACTTTTCACCCCCCCCCCCCCTACAACCCTTTAAACCAATTTGACTCCTAAAATGAGGACCAAGTTGATATCCCTGTTCCTATTCTTAATTCCCCTTGTCCTTCGCAACTATGCGCGCGCGCATGAAGATCTGTTTAATGAGCACATCACTACCATACACGATGGAGAGCTGAACAATTTTATTACGAAAAATGACGTTGTGCTGGTTATGTTTTTCGCGCCTTGGTAAGGATATGTGCCCTTCTTCTGCGGGGTGGGAAGCGGTATGCACGCAGCTACCCCCCCTGCCGCTCATTCGCCCCTCATTAGCTGCCCTATTCACTACCGTATTTAGTACCGTATTCACTGCTGCGCATTCGCTACTTATCCACCCCTCGTTCACCTCAGGTGCGGACACTGCAAGAGACTGATCCCGGAGTACAACGAAGCGGCGAACATGCTGGCGGAGCAGAAAAGCCAAATAAAGCTAGCCAGCGTAGACGCCACCACGGAAAACGCCCTAGCACAGGAGTATGGAATAACAGGGTACCCCACCATGATCATGTTTAATAAGAAGAACAGAGTCAACTACGGAGGAGGAAGAACAGCCCAGTCAATCGTCGACTGGCTTCAACAAATGACCGGTCCAGTATTCACAGAAATTACCACAAACATAGAGGATGTGTTGAAGGAAAAAAATATCTCTGTAGCATTTTATTTAGAGTATACATCTGAAGATAATGAGTTATATAAAAGCTTTAACGAAGTTGGAGACAAGAACAGAGAAATTGCAAAATTTTTCGTTAAAAAAAATAATAAACATAATAAAATATTCTGCTACAGAAAGGACGAGAAGAAAGTGGAATACGACGAGAAGGTACCGCTAAGTGAATTCGTGTCCACTGAATCCTTCCCCCTCTTCGGAGAAATCAACACTGAAAATTATCGCTTCTATGCAGAGAGCCCTAAGGAATTGGTATGGGTGTGTGCAACAACTGAACAGTACAATGAAATAAAAGAGGAAGTCAGACTTGCTGCATCTGAATTGAGAAAAAAAACACACTTCGTCCTTTTGAACATTCCTGAATATGCTGATCATGCTAGAGCTTCATTAGGATTAAATGAATTCCCAGGCTTAGCTTACCAGTCTAGTGAAGGACGATACTTATTACCCAATGCCAAGGAGTCTTTACATAACCACAAAGCCATTGTAACTTTTTTTAAACAAGTAGAAGAGGGAAAAGTTGAAAAGTCTTTAAAATCAGAACCCATTCCTGAAGATGATAAAGCTGCTCCTGTAAAAGTGGTTGTTGGAAATTCCTTCATTGATGTTGTCCTTAAGAGTGGCAAAGATGTCCTGATCGAAATTTATGCTCCATGGTGTGGGCACTGCAAAAAATTAGAACCCATTTATGAAGACCTTGGTAGGAAATTAAAAAAATATGACTCCATCATTGTTGCTAAAATGGATGGTACTCTTAACGAAACACCAATTAAAGATTTTGAATGGTCAGGATTCCCCACCATCTTCTTCGTCAAGGCCGGCTCAAAAATACCATTACCCTATGAAGGAGAGAGGTCATTAAAGGGCTTTGTAGCCTTTCTGAATAAGCATGCCACTAACACGCCCATCTCGCTGGAGGGAGTACCAGATATGGAAGATGGCACTGCAGACGAGTTATAAAAAGAAACAACAAAAAAAAAAAACGCTAACAAATGTGTACGCGTTAAAGGGACGACATAATCGTAGTGGAAACAGACCATCACGCCCCCACCAAATGCTGAATCAAACGCAACTGCATGCATGTCCTGTCCATATATATTACTTATACATATGTATATGAAAAAGCCTTAACACACAATTAACGAATGCTATACAATATAATAACCCCCCAACCACAATGAAAGTTGCAAATGCACGCTGCAGGGAGCAACAGACGAAACACACACCTGTGATGTCTTCGCAAGTGAAAATACCAACTATTACGTTACACACAATACGGGGGGTCATCCACGGAACGCGCATTCATTCTCAGAGCATCGCTAATTTGGTGCTTTTTTTTTTTTATGAACAAAAAAATCTTTTTTTTTTTTTTTTTTTTTTCCATTCTGTGTAAAATTGCATTAGTCACCCACGTGGTGCGTACGTAACTGCAGCGTTGACCAACCTCTTGTAACTCCACTCGGATGACCCACATATCCTGTAGGTGTTATATACCTATAATCACCATTACCTACCTACGAGCATGCCTCCTTTCACCCAACTCCACATTATATATTCCCTTTTTAAACCTCCAGCGACATATAAGATGTGGCAAAAAAATACGTATACATATAAGTAATTCATGGGGGCTTCCCAAAAGGGATAAGTAAAAAAGTTCAAGGGTTTGTTCCCCCGTGGGGTCAGCGTGACGGTTTGGGAGGTGTGTGCAACGCTATTGGTGGATACGCGTGGATGGGTTGATTTGGTACCGCATCGCAAGCCGCATCGCAAGCCGCACCGCAAGCATCCACACTGAAAAAGGGAGGCCAGAAAACGGCTCCACGCGGCAAGCCGCAAAAAAAACGCCTAACAAAGGAACACCTCATAGAGGACATCACCCGATGTACCCCTTGCACTTCTTCGAATTGCACATGCACTTGATATTCTTATAGTTGATGCCGTAGTGGTACTTGAGCGGCTCGTCCGGCTTGATGTCCCTGGAGGCGAAGATCCCAACGGAGGGGTAATTGTCGCCGCGCCAAATGGTTATCACATTCACATTCGGCTCGCATGAGTGGTTTAAGAAACGAGCCACATTCGAAATAAACAGAGCGTCAATGCATGGGATCTTCCAATCGTCCGTGTAAGTTTCATCCACCTCTGCTGTTTCAATGAAGTAGTTAAAGTACCCCTTCTTATCATATTCGTGCTCCCTAGAAATCATTTCCTTCCTGGTGGTGATTTCCCCAACGTAATGCATAATTAATGAGTTAGCTTTTATATAAGACGAGGAAACGATGTCCCATCCTATGTCTCGTGTCTTCACCACCTTCACAGGGTAGTGCAAACCTTCAGGAAACTTATTGGTGCATTTCAAAGGGTCACAAAGACAGTTCCCTGAGCAAGCAGCCAACACATTAAAGTCGTTAATGTCGTAGTTCTTGTTCCCATCACAATAAATTCTGTTCGTTCGTTTATGCCGCAACGCCTTACAGTACCCATTAATATAAATTTCATCAAACTCCTTTTTACTATAATTTTGTGGAGCGCACCCTGAACACAGTGGTAATAAATTATATGGAGGCAACCTAGAAAAAAATAAAGTCTTATCCACATAGGTAAAATTCATAGGGGGGAGAGAATCATCCACCGTGTTTTCTACTGGTATTTTAAATTTCTCTTTTCCAGCTGAAAGGTCTTCATATGGATTCCATGTATCCTCGAATGGCTTCTTCAATTCGATGTGAGCGGCTATTGCTTCTTTGCTTTTGATCGGGATGAACAAATGAGCTGGCCTCTTTGCCATTTCACAATTTATGGGTATTTCTGTCTTACGTATGGAAATTTCGAGGTTCTTGAAATTCTTCGTTCTAATTCTTTGGTTTTCGTTAATCTCCTTTTCAAAATTCAGCGTCTCCAGGACAAGTACCAGCGGCAGATATTTCCCTCGACACCAAAAGGGGAACGTTTCCGCGCCCCCTCTCCCAGTCGGGGGGCCACCATTTGCAGTCTCCCCTGTACGTGCGCTGCTTGGGCGACCGCCCGGCTTACGCCCAGCCACCCCCAAATCCCCCCCCTCCTGACGCAACTTCCGCTTGCACGCCTCGTACATGCGCACATCACTACGCACCCACTTGGAAGCAAGCTTCTCCTTAATACACCTGCGCCGAATAAACTTGTAAATGTGATTGAAATTCATAAACGTAGTCGATTTATAATTCTTCAAATATGGAACAGTCAGAGTCATAATCATTTCACTACCCAAAAAAACGTTAATAGAAACAGAATTCTTCTCAATCAAGTACTTCTTCCTCTCGCACTGGCTATCGTAGAAGCGGCAGTTCCGGGGAATAAAACACTTGTCCACATACAACCTCTTAAACACATACAAAATGTCCCTCTTATACTCTGATGTAGAATAATCATTAATGGTAAAGGCATTCACAATTTTATATATGCCATCATATCGTATACCGTAGTTGGGGCTGTACTTGGTTTTCAAATTATTGTGACGGAAAATACGTATGGGCATTTGTAACAAGTAAGAATTGTATAAGGCATTCGCATAACATTTTCTAAGGCTAGAAATTTTATTACTTAAAAAGGATAATAAATATCTCAGTACAAAAAAATTCCCATTATCCGTTAGCACTTCATTTTTTGAATTCAAAATTACTGAAGAAACAATATGCTCATTCTTATTAATAGGATGCAAAAAAAGATTATACGATGTGTATTTACATAAAAAAAATAATGCTATGTGGTAGTTGTGAGAAAAATGAGTGTTCACCTTGATGTCTAATATATTAAAATTGTTATTATAAAGCCAGTCCACTGACAGCAAATATTTCCTTTCCTTGTCCCATAGTTCATTATTGCTACCGCTTCTGTACATACCGGTTTTATCTCCCTCTTGCATTATACCCAACTTACCTCCACTCAATTTATCATCACTGTTAGCACCACCGTGGTGATATGCACTTATGCTATTCTTCACACCGGACGAGTTGTAACCGTTTGCACCACCCTCCCCAATACCTGTCCCATTCATGCCCCCTCCAACAATCCCACTCTCATACCCCACACAGTTATCAGTCCTGCCAAAACCACCCCCAGGTGTAGCGGCCGAGTAACCACCACCACCACCCATCAACATCATTTTCTCCTCCCTCCTCTTTTTATTCAGCCGATTATTTTGCATCATCATTTTGTAATTATTTTTTATCCTCTCCAACAGCATGACATTAACATTTTCCAATTCACTTACGTCCTCTGCATATTCTGTGTGATCACTAGTGTCTGAATTTTTTTTTTTAAAATAGTTTTCACCTCCCTTGCTTCCCCTCTCCTCTGTCTTCTTCTTTGTCTTCCTTGAAGAAATACCTCCACTTCTCCTTCTTCTATTCTTCATAAGAGACAAATTATTGTTACAAAAAAAATTCTTCCTTCCTTTCCTCATGGACGACACGTTGGATGCGCTTCTTTCTTTACACGCCCTCTCCAGCTTTCCCTCTTTTATTATATTTTCCTCCTTGACATTTCTATTCCGCATCAGCACTTTCTTTTTGGCCTCTCCCTCTTCTGCGATGCCTTCCTTTGTGAGCGCTTCGTTATACTTGTGTGTTACATTTTTTCTCCTCCCGTCTGGCGTCACGGGTTGTTCCTTTACCCACTTCTCACTCTTTACTACCGTCCCTCCCACTTCATCGTCATCATCAGGGGGGATGATCACCATGCAGCTGTAGTCTTTTCCTTCACCCACCTTTTCTTCCTTCTCTTCATTCTTTACGCGAGCCACTACGGTGACCACATCATCACATTGTGCCTTCTCCTCACACTCCACAACGTCAGGTGTTTCTGTCTTCACCTGGCATAGGGGCAAGACCTCGTGGATGGACTCACTTCCCACTTGATGTACGTCCTCATTTTCTCCTAAAGCGGCATTTCCACCCTGCATGTCCTGACTTCCATTTGCGCCATCCCCTACAACTGCTTCTTCCCCCTTCTGTTTCTTACTTGCCAAATCAGATGCCCCATCTTTGGTGCCCCCCACCTGCATCTTCCTCTTGCGCCCCTTCTGCACGGGTACGGGGTCCTCTTCCACCTGTTCCACTACTTCATCGCACAGTTCCTCCTCCCCCATGACAGCTTCATTCATCACGACCTTGCACTCGATCTGCTTGCAGTCTTCTCCCTTTTCCTCCACCACTTGGCTCTCATGCGGCAAATGTGCAGAAGCGCCCTGGATATCCTCCCCCTTGCACGTTACAGGGGAGGTGTCTTCAAACAGTTTGACGCTCTCGTTGGAGGCATCATTGTTCATCGCACTCAACTGCTCTGCACGTATCACCGTTTTCTCTCCCCCCCCTTTTTCCACCTTACCGACACCTCCCTTTTGTGCATCCACAGCTTCCCCAGGGAAATCCTTCTCATCATTCGAGCAGTTGGAATACAGGTAAGGCCTAAATTTATACATGGAGCTGATCTGCCTATTGTCCTTCTCCGGTAAAATATTATCATCGTAGCTTTTATTGTGTTGCACATTCTTCTTCGCAAATTTAACATTGTGAATGTTAAAATAATTCAAGTTTATAAAATCAGCAATGGGTACTTTACCTCGGTTCAAATGCCTGCAGTAATTCTCGTACATGCCTAATATGATCGAGTGAGTGTCGATCAGGTTGTCCTTGATGCGACAGTTAGGAATGGCTTTCTCATCGATATACACATTTTTGTCCTGTATCTGGTAATACAATCTTAAATTTTTGAACAAGCAATACGTGTAAATAAATTTGAGGGGCCTTTTAAGTATAGTGATGTCATAAGAGAATAAGTTATATAATATGAACTGTTCCATTAGAGAGTCCTTGTTAGAAATAATGTTGTTGAAGTTGAACCTCTTCATGTTTATTTCCTTTACGTTGTTTAGCAGAGTCGTGCTTTCCTCGCTTGTTAAGATTCGTTTCATCATTTTTTTTGCGCCCTTACTGTCGCTAACGTCGTTACCCCCGCTAACGTGGTTCACGCCTATAACGTGATTCACGCCGCTAGCATCGTTAATGTTGCTGCCATTGGTGGGGCCCTGTTCAGGGGCGACAGATGCTCCTTCCGCAGAGCATCCATTACCCTTACCACTTACGCTGCCTCCACCCCAACTGGAACGCTCATCCAGGATGATAATTTTTTTCTGGAAATTTTTTTTAGCCAAGTTAAGAGACATGGAACTGTTCCTACTCGAACACGCATCGTCATAACCCCTGTCCCCGTCCCCCTCCTCCTCCTCTTCTTCCTCATCATCATCGTCCATTTTTAAAAAAAAATGCTTGCTAATATTTATATTAGAAAATTTATCACTTAAGTCGTGTACACCTCCATCATCATACGCACCATTGTAGCTGTCTCCATAATTATAATATAGCTCGTCCTTTACGTAACTCTTCTTTTCATTTTTTAACTTAGTCTTTCCTGCGTGCGTTGTCTCATACTTGATTCGGTTACTTGCGGAGTTCCCTTTGAGGGTACACTTGGACTTTTTCTTTTGTGGGATTTTTTTCTTCGTTTTTATTTTCCCCTTGCAAAGTGTCCCCTTCTTCCTTCCGCCTGTCTTATTCAATAGGCTTTTTTCAAATTGGCCTGCGCCATTACCGTTACTGTTGTGACCACTGTTGTGGCCACTGTTACCGCCGCTGTACTCTTTCACGTTACACCCCATGGGGGCAAATGGAAAGGCGGTACCATCATCTTCCATCTTTGCACTGCTTACACTCTTCTCCCGTCTGCCTTTTTTCCTACCCACTTTGCCGCACCCTATGTGACTGACAGGATTCAACAGACTGGGTTCATTCCCTAAAGACATAACCACGTCTTTCTTCTCTTCATGGGTGTCGCTTCTCAAATTTGTTTCCCTTTTAATAAATCGGGAGTTCCCCCTTTTTTTCCACTTGGCTACCTCCTCGCTTTGCACCTCGAACTGGGGGTGCTCCTCGGCCGGGCCGTCATCCATGCAGTTAGCAGTATTGCCCACACCGCAAGTGACCACGCCAGAAGACTCCCCCTCCAAGGGCTGGTCGCCACTGCCGCTGCAACCATCGCCCTTAAAATTTTGAATAAATAACTGGCCTGAATTGTCATCCGGTACTTTATTATCCATGCATAACTCCCCTACCGGATCTTCGCAATTACGACCGTTCGAATCCTTTGCGCATTTGTCACTGTCTACCACATCAATGCTCACATCGGGTTCTTCTGTCCCCGCGGCGTCTCCCTGACCCGTTAGCCTTCTCTCCTCGGACCCTTTTTCCTCTACATCAGGATTGATCACAGCGTCCTCGCTACCCTCCACGTAATATACCTCCTGCGTATTGTTCAGGTTAATTAACCCTTCACTTTTACTTACACTAACCTCTCCTCCTATATCGACACACTTGGGCGCGTCCATGGAATCCCTCACAGGGTTGCAACCAACGTCGCAGCTGTTGTCCAAGCGGGGGTCAACACCATCGCCAATGCCCTTGTCACCCGCCTTATCGGATCGGCCTCTTAAAGCACTACCGGTAAGGTTGTTGCCACCCGCGCGTCCACTTTGGCTTCCCCCCATTTTCCCGCCACCACTCAGATTATTCCTTCTGCTGTTCCTTTCTTTCATTTTTATCTATTGGGCAATTTCTGCTTAGTGGCTTCGTCCCTATATTTTATATGAATGTATTATACATTTACGTAACATTTTTTTTTTCTCCCTTTTCCAACACAATTCGTTTCAGGATAATTCCGCTGGAGGCTCTTATCGGATGGCAAGTGCTGTCGGTCTTGGGACAGGCGGCGATGCGTGGAAACACAGAGTGAGAAGGGGGAAAAAAAAAAATAGGTGAAAAAAAAAAAGGCCCTCGAAGAGCTTATCTGAACCAGAAAAAAGGGTTGCCTCACGCAGTTACAGAGGCCCACATGTATGCATTACGAGTATATGGAAGCAACGAGCACTTGCATGTACATACATCAGTATATATACATGTATATGTATATACATGTATATGTATGTATATTTGCAAATGCTCGTCATGCCATATCCTCTTTGCTGCTTCCCCTTCTGTACGCCATTTTTTGCCACCCCCCCACGTTTGGTGCTTCCGGCCGTCCGCCAGGTCAGCCTATACAGCAGCGCACGCGTGTATATGCCTTAGCAAACGGGAAAATGACTCGAGGCGGGTCGAAAGACCATCATTTTGCTGGTCAACATTCTAAATAGAAAAGGAAAAAGAAAGAAAATGAGATAAAATGAGATGAAATGGAATAAAATAAAACAAAATCAAATGAAATATACAAAACACCGCAGACCGCAGTGGAAAATAGCACAGGCGATGATGGTAAAATTAATAAGGCTGTGCTCGTGCTCATATGTACATTTCGGGGGTTAATAATGCTAATTTACCATTTACTCTTTCGCATACATATAGCACATGCTAAACGATTTACGCGATTGTGCCAAATTGCCAGCGTGCAACGAAAAAATACTCTTATTGTTTTTTTAATTTTCCTTGTTCGCTCACGCAAGTTTTTAAAAGAGGGCCTTTGAAAAAGGGGAAGGAACGATGATGTCCACAGCAGCGATGATTAGATGATACGAATTTCAAGAATGATTCATTAGAGCAACAAAAACGGAGGCACCCACACGCCATGACTGATTGGTTGGTTTGTTGGTTGCCGTTTCTGTTCCACTCAATAATACCTGCTAGAAGGGATTTCGCGTGAATAGTATATTTTTTTTTTTTTTTTATAAAATACTTTGCCCTCATCAGTTTCGCTAAGTGTAGCTTGTTCCTTTCGTAATAGCTTTTTTTTTTTTTTTTTTTTTTTTTTCCCCTGCA